TTAGCTCGAAGGTTGCTACATTTTGATCTACCTCCTCAAAATCAGCTAAACGAGTTCTACGGTAAATTTTAACTGGCTGGAAGGAAGGATTAACCAACCTTTTGGGATCATACCGTCATCTGCAACACTGACAAGCTCAGAAGCTCCGAAAACAGAATAGCGATGGCATAAATCGGACTTAGGAATAATCATACCATTAATACCAACGGCGCTTGGTAAAGAATTGAGTTCCCCTGAAACCAAAATTTCTGACTGAGGTGGAATAACAAAAGTACGAGAGGCATGGACCGAAGAAATAAAAGCTTTATCCGTCAAATCACTATCATCATTTAAGTGTACACCCTTAAAAGGAAGGGGATCTGGTTCAGAAGGAAAATTCACCGAACCATTTTCAAAATAACCTTAAAACAAAATTCTTTAAGAAAATCTCTACCAAGGATAACATCATAAGACAAATTTTCAATCACGCGGGCTTCAAAAGGAAACTCATGAGAATCAATAACAAATTTTATTGGTGTCTTTCCCAGAATAGTTAAACAGGAACCATTGACGGTAGTCACACTCTCCGAATCAGGTCCATCTAGCCTAGGGTAAGCGTGACACAAATACTTCCGCCACACTTTAGCACTTACTGCTGTGACAGCAGCTCCTGAATCTATTAAACAATAAAAATTATGACCCTCTATACTAACAGGCAAAGTAGAGCTTCCAGTCACAAAAGGAAGAGAAATATTACTATCTGGTTCTTCTACTCCATTATCAACGCAAGCTGAAATAGGCTTTGTACAAGAATTCGCATATAAAGCGGTGTTACATTCTATCTCTACTCCCGTTTCGCTGTGAAAATCATTTAAAACACTCGGAACGGACGAACTCGCTGAACCCTGTGCACTGTTTACTATACTATCGCTTTTAGGCGAATTGTTATTAGGTAAAGGCACTCCGCTATCAGTTATCTCATTAAGCTTAACATCACTGGGTATGACCTCCGAAACAACAACATCTTGAAAATCCACTGTGTCATTAACATTAACATCAACCTCTTCAAAAACTAAACTGTTTTCTTTAACAATAACAAAATTCTGGGGTTTCTCTTCTTTAAAGGCCTCAGACGAATATAAAGGAAATTTATCCTGAACAGACAAAGCAGAAACACCTGGCTTTCCGGTGCCGGGATACTTGCTTTGAAACATTGGAGGTCGATTGAGTACATTAACCATGCTTGTTATGACTCCTTCAAATAACTCAAGTAACTTAATAATGATAGCAAAAACAACTGATAGAATAACAACAATATTACTCTCAACACAAGTGCCTTGTTTTGACAGCCCACTTCCTTGACGTGGGTAATCAGAAGATTGTTTTGGCGAGGTCTGGAAATTACTCTTATTTACAACATTTTGCCCAAAATCAGCTTTTGTATCTACTGAAACATCGACAGGCCGCGCTTTACTGAAAGCAAATTTATCAGCGTCGCACGATCCTGGCGATAAACTTTGATTCCGCTCTACAACTTTTGAAGCCCCCATCACGGGTTCATTTTGTAACGAGACAGGGGCGCACTTCAGTTTCCCTGCTGCTTAGATTGCCAATTAGAAGCATCTTGACCTCTATTCCGATAAAAATTTTGTCTACCGCCTCCACGACGAGAATTTCTAGGATCAGGTTTTGAGCGGCAAAAATAATAAGTATGCCCCTTCCGACCACAATTATAGCAAACGGCATCGCCAAAACGGGACCGGAAACCCCTTGATTGAAAAGACTGGTTAGAGCGCTGGTTATAACCGCTGGGTCTAGAACTAGCACTTCCCATTAACTCTCGAAACTCGTCTCTAATAATTTCTTTCATTTCAGACTTGCTCACGTAAGGGTCCTGACTCACGGCACTAATTGACTTTTCCTTAGGATTAATTGCTTTCGTCAATTCCTCCAAAATCTGTGCCGATACCTCTTTAGGGTTGAAATCTGTACGTTTACTCGACCCAGCAAGCACCGATTCCTTTAACTTAGCAAAGTTCTCTGCCGATTCCAAATTCTCAGGTTGTTGCAAAATAACGTATTCTCGGATTTCAGGTAGGAGGCCTTGCACAAAATAATGTGTCCACTCAGATCTAGGCAAATTAATTCTCGCACAGTGAGTTCGGAGGCTATAAGAGTACTCTGCAACTGATTCTTTCTCCAGTTGTCGCCGCTGCCCTAACGCCTGTCTTACGCGCCACTCGCTGGCTCCGGAGGCGAAATGCGTGATTAATTGCTCAGACAACTCGTCAAAAGACATCTCGTCAACCGTAGGCAAAGTCTTAAACCACGCGCTAGCATGACCCTTTAAATAGAGAGGAAGCCCCAACGCTAAATTGTTGTCGTCCCAACCATTTAATCTACCAGCCCTCTTATAATTCCTAATAAACTCATGAGCGTCCTCACACTCATCTCCCCTAAAAACTGGAAACGTTACTGACGATTTCACACCGACATTTCTACCCTGTGAGTTAACAGAAGCCTGCATTCGCTCAACTGCTCGACATAACTGACTAACTTGATCTTCCATTTCGGCATAGACTGGTGCAAGAGACAACCGATCTGACTCTAAAGAACTATCAACAAATGAATTATGCGGTTCCTGAATTGAATGTTCACTTATACTTTCACGACTAGGACAATTCTCTCTGGGCTCTACGTTTTCATAAATAATTTCTTCTTCAGAGTCGGATTCGTGGTCGCTGATACAAAAAGAAACTAGAGAGCATTCACTGGGAGTCGGAATTGCACTTAACGCCTGTGCTTGTGCTTCAGCCCTGGGTGATCTATTAATTGACCGTAAAAATGAACGGAACAACGGTTCTCTAGACTGCTGAACGGGTGGAGGAGGGGCAGGCCACTCATTCGAACCTGAATTCACAGCCAAATTTTCCTGGCGAACGGCCCCCTCAGCCAGGGTTCGCGCTCTCTGCCTAGTAATCAGGATGACAAGTGGAAAAGTTCAACATAAGCCAAATTTTCCAAAGACTCAAAAACGAAGGCAATAAAATGAAAAACGACAGTCATAAAAGGGAAAAGCGACAAACACATCAAAAGAAAACCGAACTTTCAAATTGACTCATAGCAGCCATAACTAATTCACAAACTAACCGACACGTATACTGAAAATAAACTACGCCTTACACAAGTTCGAGCATTATCAAAAGCAAAGAAAACTACAGGACTAAACTAGCTTGCAACAGAAAGGCATGCTAACAAACACAAAGTTCCACTCACAATTGTAGTGATTCTTCAAAGGAGTTCTCCACCAAGTATGTTGGGGGCTTGTGTAGCTCGCTTGGCTTTTGAACGAGAGGACCAAGACTCTGTGTTCTTTCTCTTTAGATAGCGGTTTATTCTTTAAAAGCTTCTGACAACAACTCTACTACTCAACTAACTCTACTAGCTTACACAGCGAATTAAATAAGTAAATTGTAGACTTGTTTTGAGTTAGCTGACCGGAAGAGTTTCTATTGAATACCTTATCGCCTATATCGCAACAGCTTTGCTACAGTAAGATAAGCCTACACAGCCGCAACCTACAAATACCAAGGAGCCAATTAAATGCTAACAGTGAAACTGCCCAGAAGGACAAAACGTACTAAACAGGAACTCGACTGTGGGTAAAACCTAAGGTCAGCTGTACTCGACAAACAAGCCTACTTCAAAGAACCAAAACTTGGTTTAACAAACCCTTCAAATGGATACTACTAGACAAAAACTCAGGAACTAATCATATGGGAAATACATTGAATCTTTAAGTTTCTAAGTCTATAAAAGTCTATAAACTGTTCATCATAAAGCTGGCAAAATCTTAAAAATAGCAACACTGAAAAACAAAACTAAAGGTAACAACCACACAACAAAATGACTACTTTTCTGTCGTGTTGTTTGTTTCTCAATCGTACTCATTGCCGAAAGTGAAAGGCTTCCCGGTCTTCAAACAATCAGGTGCAACAAATCTAAGAGCGGAGGCAAAGATAAAAGCCCTTTCATTTCTCCAGTCTACGAACATGTGATTATTTTTCTATCTTATCTTACAGAGAGGATCTCACCTTTCATTGACCGAAATTCAATGTCACGTCATCACCGATCAGCACGAATGGAGCCCAGTGCTTCACGGCATTGAATTTTTCCGACTTCCTCATCCATTTCATGGCCTGATGAAGGGACTTACTTGCACTTTGCCCTGCTACTAAATGTTCGTAAAAAGGTTTCATAAACGCAAGAGTGGCTTCGTCATCAATCGCCCACAGTATGGCAATAACAGAACGCGCACCGGCTCCTAAAAAGGCACGTGCAATACCAACCACTCCTTCGACTTTGATATTTCCTCGCCCACTGTTGCAGCAGCTTAAGACAACAAGCTTGGCGCGCACTTTTGCATCCAACACATCTGCCATCGTCAAAAGAAAGTCTTTCTCTTTAGGTCTTTTGGCACTACTAGAAAAATTAGGAGACAAAATGATTTCTCCGGTTTCTGTACGACCATGAGCTGCTATGTGCACTAACGAAACTGAGTTGAGCCCGCTTAAAACCCGATCTTTTGTGGTGAGAGGCTAGAAGTTTAGAATTTGCCCAATCATTTTTACCTCTTCCTCAGCACCTGGAAGCTGCGGAAACGGTTTGCAGCCTTTGATGCGTACAGTTTCCACCCACGGGTTGCCAACAAGTAGAGCCTCGGATGAACTATGGCGGTCCTCCGGACATTCTGCCAGCAGCCATAAGCTTGTCAGTGATGGAATCAATCTAATTCTACGCGTTTCATTTAAATACCTGGAGTTTTGGTCCACGAGGGCAGCATAAGGAATCAAGGACGATGAACCGTCAGGGACAATGACGAGTTCGTCACCTATCGAGTGTGAAATTGGAGCGATGAATATGTCGTATAATACTTTTAAAGCACCACCCTGGTCTTCGATCTCTCTCTGCAGCTGGGGGCGAATCTTTTTCCACAGGCTTTTGTTCACACCAATCTGTTTCTATGTTTGGTAAGTCATTGATGTCAAGTCATCACTGCAAACTTCCTGTTGCACAAAGTCACAAAGCTTTCCCCACTTTAACAGCATCCAGATATTCACTGACTGGGTATCATTCATTAGAAATAACGTGGGTGACGAAATATGGTTTGAAATGATAAGTTCCATCTGCTGTTTCGGCTGTGAACGAATCGATTTCCTGACACCATATTGCGATTCCAAGAGGTCCATAAGAGCTTCTGCTCGTCCCCTCCCACCTGTTAAAAGGGCCTCGAGAGTCTTACGTTCAGTGCGTTGTTGTAACTGTAGTCTCAGTAAACGACTAAAGCAATCACGTTCATTCCGAAAGCTGATTTTCCACTCGTCGTTTCCTTCAAGAAGGACTCTCATTTCTTCTACCAGTTCAATACAGGATTTAAAATACTCCTCGGCTTTGGAGTACTTGTCAAGACACCAAAGAACTTGAGCAAGTCTATCATATCCGCCTTGTTCAACATCTTTGTTTCCAGTCTCCTTTGCTATACTTGTGGCTAGCTGATAAAATTCCATCGCTCTTTTGGAATTACCGAGACGCTTATAGACATCGCCGAGGTTTATATATGTAGGTCCCCCTCCATTTTTCATCCCAATATCTTTTTGGATTCTTAGACTCCGCTCATAAAGCTCGATCGCTTTATTAAAATCACCGAGAGACTGATTTACGACGCCAAGGCTGTTATATACAGCTGCTTCTTGATATTTGTTTTCAGTATCTTTTGCGATTCTTAGAGCCAGCTGATTAAACTCCATTGCTTTTTGGAACTCACTGAGAGACTGATAGGCATTGCCAAGGTTGTTATATATAGCTCCTTCTCCATCTTTGTTTCCAGTATCGTTTGCGATTTTTAGAGCCAGCTGATAAAACTCGATTGCTTTTTTGAACTCACTGAGAGACTTATAGGCACTGCCAAGGTTGTTATATCTAGTTCCTTCTCCATCTTTGTTTCCAGTATCTTTTGCGATTTTTAGAGCCAGCTGATAAAACTCCATTGCTTTTTTGAACTCACTGAGAGACTGATAGGCACTGCCAAGGTTGTTATATATAGTTCCTTCTTCATCTTTGTTTCCAGTATCTTTTGCGATTTTTAGAGCCAGCTGATAAAACTCGATTGCTTTTTTGAAATCACTGAGAGACTGATAGGCACTGCCAAGGTTGTTATATGTAGCTGCTTCTTCATCTTTGTTTCCAGTATCTTTTGCGATTTTTAGAGCCAGCTGATAAAACTCCATTGCTTTTTTGAACTCACTGAGAGACTGATAGGCACTGACAAGGTTGTTATATATAGTTCCTTCTTGATCTTTGTTTCCAATATCTTTTGCGATTTTTAGAGCCAGCTGATAAAACTCGATTGCTTTTTTGAAATCACTGAGAGACTTATAGGCAAGGCCAAGGTTGTTATAGCTAGTTCCTTCTTGATCTTTGTTTCCAGTATCTTTTGCGATTTTTAGAGCCAGCTGATAAAACTCCATTGCTTTTTGAACTCACTGAGAGACTGATAGGCACTGCCAAGGTTGTTATATATAGTTCCTTCTCCATCTTTGTTTCCAGTATCTTTTGCGAGTTTTAGAGCCAGCTGATAAAACTCGATTGCTTTTTGAACTCACTGAGAGACTGATAGGCACTGCCAAGGTTGTTATATCTAGTTACTTCTTGATCTTTGTTTCCAGTATCTTTTGCGATTTTTAGAGCCAGCTGATAAAACTCGATTGCTTTTTTGAACTCACTGAGAGACTGATAGGCACTGCCAAGGTTGTTATATATAGTTCCTTCTTGATCTTTGTTTCCAGTATCTTTTGCGAGTTTTAGAGCCAGCTGATAAAACTCGATTGCTTTTTTGAACTCACTGAGAGACTGATAGGCACTGCTAAGGTTGTTATATCTAGTTCCTTCTTGATCTTTGTTTCCAGTATCTTTTGCGATTTTTAGAGCCAGCTGATAAAACTCGATTACTTTTTTGAAATCACTCAGATGGTGATAGGCGAGGCCAAGGTTGCCAAGGCTAACTGTTTCTGGGTTTTTATTCCTGATCTCTCTGGCTTCATTCAAAGTCATCTCGAAATAATCCCGGGCTATTTTAAAATCACCGCGTTTAAAGGCTTTTTCTCCAAGGTAATTACTGTACAACCAATTTGTTATGGAAGTTTGTTCGGGTTTTCCATGTTTGCCTTTACTTCTCATTTGTCGGAGTTTTATAGTGTATTAGTATCTTTGTATGTCTGTCGCAGTGTGATGAACCAGAAGCATATAATCCTTCAGGATAAGTTTTCTATAGCGATAAGGATAGACTCAGTTTTGCGCAACTTTCGCGTTTTAAACTGTCATTTGCTACTTTTATCATTTTCATGTACAGCAACACCCAATTTCCGGACAATTTCAAACAATAAGCCACTCTAAAATTAGGCTTAAATGGGTACATTCGTGGTACAGTTACACTGAAGCATCCATGATAGTTCATGCACGTCATACGTGCCTATGTTCAAGAGAATGAAGAACTATGTCGCAAGTAGCCTACGAATAACCGTAATTGCCATTTTTGTACTATAAAAGAGCCCGTGAGCAAACAAACATTTGATGATGACTTTGTTACACCCTGGACTCCAAATCTAAAGTCTAATTTCTTCCATATTATTTAAACGTTTGAACTTTGTATCCGTTTGAACTTTTGGTGTTTTCACAAGAAGGGGGTAAATAGAATGCTTGCCAACATTACTAGTATAATTATGATCCATTCTGTTTCTTAGATACTAAATAGTTAAAAAAATTCTTCTAAAATTACCTGCTATTATTGGTTTGATTGCCAATGGTCGAATGTCCCTGGCGTTTTGTCCATCTACCAGGGAGTAAATGTAGTTTCCTATGAATGTTAAAAATGCAAACAAACAAAAATTACTCACAGCAAACGCAGCAAAGCAAACTCAAAGCAAATAAGATCAGTGAAATCTGGAAACCCCCTGACGGACCATTCCAAAGCAAGTCATGTGATCACACTGGCAAACATTCAACATCAGTGGTTAACCAATCAGAAAATAAGCAATATTTCTTTATTTTCAAAATACAAGTAGCCTTACCTAAACGAAGGTTTGCATAAGCTCTATTGCTGTACATTTTCGCCTTTAGGTCTTCGTCCTTGCAGTTTACTTTAATTCCCTTAGTATAAAAGTAAACGGCGTTGCTGTAATCTTCCTGTAAGTACGCTTCATTGCCTTCGGTTTTGTACACCTCAGCTATTGCTAAAAATGAAGCAGGTTGAAATGTCATTAAACCTCATGGTGTATAGCCCGTGTACAGCCTCCCCCTCCCCTCCCCTCCCCTGCATTGTTCCCATTCGCTCGCGATCACTTTTCGGGAAATATTTGAGTTAATTGTTAAGGAAAGGGGGCGAAAGTTGTGATGGGAAGGGGAGAAAAAATGAAGCTTTCTCTCTTATTCCTTCCTATCACTCTCCGCTTGCGCTCTCCTCGCTGGTCTCCAGCTTTCGCAGTTCTCACTTGTTCCATACTCACCTCTAAGCCTTGGGAAAACCTGTAACAGACCCCCTTCCCTCAAACAAAGAAGGCTGTGGGGGGGTAGGTGGTCTGCAACAGGCGGGATGCGGCATTTAGCAGATCTTTGGAAGTGATATTCGGGACGAGGGATAAAAACAGGACCAGAAAGCGAGAACTCAAAGGACGAGCGGGGGTGTGGTTTTGGGAGGCGATTATTTCAAATTTTTCCTTTATAGGGGGCGATTATTCGAAGGAGGCGATTGAAACAATAAACTGATCCTTTCGGTGGGAAAAGTGATAGAAAAAATAAATAAAGAAAACAGAAATAAAATGGTGAATTATAATTGTGAAAACAAAAGATAAGAGTACAATACGGGAAAACCGTGTGCAACTTTTTTGGTGTTAATTTCCGTCTTCGTCTCTTTGCTAGAGATTACTAAACAACATATATGAGAGAGATCATTTCTTCCCGGTTAGGCAAATGGTGTCACTTGTTAATTCATAAATGGCGTTGACCATGACATTGGTCACAGATTTGTGATATAGTGGCAAATTTGGTCGTTCAGTTCCTCACTTTCTGACGTTAAAAATGCTAAAAAGCTGGAAATACATTAAATTTGTTGCTCCAGAGAACACTACTAAGGCGTTATGCAGTACGTGTTCATCCTTCGGTTAACGGGAAAATAGTACTTGTACTTGCCGAGAGCTAATGCACCACTGTATATAACGGTGAATCCACAAGATAAAGTAATTAGTCGTCAACCACAAATTTTAGAAAAAGCCTTATCTAGATAAAAGGATAAAACCACCTTCAGTTAAGACAACGTTAAACGACTTTGACTTTTTAACCACTTCAGTATGTTGAATGTTATCAAATGACGGTTTTTTTTCCTTTTCTGTATCTTTTATTTCATTCCTCATTATTTTGCTAAGTTAAAGTCCTGTTGGTGATACACTATTAACAGTTGTAAGAATCTTTACCTTTTAGTGTGTCATCATCAAAGTTCAGCTGTTGTCCGGTACCAAGTGATGTAACATCACTCTCCCATGCTGCTCCGTTTCCACTCTGTGCCATAATGGTTTGATCTGGAAAAATCAGTAAAAAGCTTTAAATTAATATTATTATATAAACTGCAGTGTTTTACAAGGATTTCTACCACCGAGAAATGTGGTATCTGAACACACGTAAAAATACGATATTTTTACATGTGAAATTATTGATATTTGACAGTTTGAGAACATTTTAACCATTTATCTTGTCTATTATATTTGAACAAGATACCGGACATTTTTAATATTTGTATTTATTTTTTACTGCACTTTGTAGAGCTCCGAGGTTTACACTGGAGTATTTTAAACAATGAATTACATTTGTCGGGTTCTCGACTATAATTATTTTCTACTTATTGCAACCTTGTTATCGCAACCTCATGTATCATATTTATTTTGCAGTGTTTTGTTGCTGAGGTGAGGTGGTTGTTCCCAGTGATCTCCCAGAAATACAGAGAATCAACAAAACAGTGAAACACTGAACCATCATAATGATGAGAGTTGAACCAAAACACATCACTGAATAGACTAGTGCTACGTGCTCATCAGTGAAAAATAGTAAATATTTTTTCTGCTCCTGTTTTACTGTCGCTGGTTACTTTCTTATTTCATTTTCTTTTATGGTTCGTAGTTATATGTGTCTTTTTTCCTTCTCGAACAAACTTCCCTTTGAAAGTAAGTCGTCGTACGTGTAGGTATTGTTTCAATTTTTACCTTCATTATCTCATTATCACCGTATCAATTATTCAGTACGTATTCATAGACACGCACGTTTTGTTGGAGTTGGCTTTTTCTCTGGAGTAACCTTTACAGCTTCTCATTACATGTTCATGTCTATACACTTACATAGTGCACTTAGGCGGCCAAAAGAGATATCGCACTGAAAGTTCTGTAGTTTTAACAAAAGCAATTTTGACAATTCCACACAATGTCATATGAATAATGATTATTGCCTTGTTTTTGTTGACGGTCCACTTTTGCCTTTCCTATTTCTAGCATCCCAAAAAAACTTTGAGGTTGCAGCCTCTTTAAGCACCTACCTAAAGGTGGGTTGGTGCTTGTTATTAATAATAATAGGGACTTTAAGATACAACGACGCGGACGTGACGAAAGCCAACCGGAAGTAGAAATACCCAAAATGACTTCCACTGCGCATGATCATGACGTAAACAAGCCGCGTCCTTGCTCAAGACGAACGCGCTGAAGACCATTTTGACGTTGTTGACAAACTGTAAGTATTTCAACCTATTTTGACTTATTTAAGACAGTGAATTGGCACTTTTTGTTTGTATATCGAAAGCTTAATTATCCCGGATATATTCCTCATGTTTTTTTTTGTTGTTGTTTCCCTTCAGGCTCAGTTGAACTTGCGAACAGTAAACACAAGAAAACATCAGTTGCCATGGCCTCGAATTCCAAACCGCAGTGAGTAGATTTTTGCATTCTTCGTTCAGTGAATTACGGCTAAAGAAACAAAACGATTTGTTGTGTAAAAACAATGTTGTTCCCGATTATTTCCTTCTTGTCGAAGATTTTCCCATCCTGGTTAAATTTATTCACAGATCTTGGTTACTCGCACTACGCTTCATTTTGCGGGAATTTAATTCACGCACTATTTCCCGCAGAAGCTAAGTTGTGTGAGATTTTAAAGAAAAGACAACAAAACAAATTAACAGAAACATGTAAACGACTATGTTTACCAAATAAGTGCCTCTGACGGCAAAATGTTTGCTATATTAAGCAGGTCCTACAGAGTAGCGAGTTTATAACTTTACACACACTTGGCTTGGCCAGCCGACGTCCAAGACTTTGCGGCTGTAAACGATAGATTCAAATTATTTTCTAGAAGTGATTTCCGCATATAGTACAACATTCAAGGTTTGCTTTTATTTTCTTGTAGCTGTGCACGTATATTAAAAAAATGTATATGTCGCTTATTTTTGTCGGCAGGATTATGAACTGGACGGAGGAACATGATGTGGTTTTTTGCCGAGAAATAATCTTTGTAAACCCATTCAGTGCAAAGAAGAAATCCGTTCAGCGAAGTGCCTTGTGGCAAAGAGTGGCGGATACCCTAAACAGCATTAAAGATCCTGTTTTTTTTTTTTTTTTGTGGATAAAAGCTCAGTTCGAGACCATATCGGGGTTTTGGTGCAAAGATTTAAAAGAAAAGAGACCAAGGAATTGAAGGAAAGTGGTATAAGCCCTACGAAAACTGAATTAGATGAAGCTATAGAACAAGTTATTGCCATGGAAGAGTCTGCCGATGAGCAGCACCATTTGGAAGATGGCGAAAAGAGGGACAAGATGGAAGGAGACAGGCTGAAAGCAGAAGAGATGCGCAGAACTGCTATGGAGACATTAGCGAAAACACAGAAGAGAAAGTCCGTGGAGGGGCAGAGCAAAGCGAAAAAAAGCAGAAGAAGTGGTAGCGAAGCGTTAGAGTTTCTTAAACTAAAGGCGGAGCAAGACATGGATATTAAGAAGCAAGAATTGGATTTGAGAAAACAGGAGCAAGAGAAGATGGCTATAGCCCAAAATCAGCAAACTTATATGTTCAACCAAATGTTAAAACAACAACAGGAACAGCATTAACAAATGCATGACATGCAATCCTTACTAATGCAGCAGCAGCAGCTGCAAACCACAGCAATGATGAAGATTATTGAAACACTAGTTCCGAAATAAACAAACTCGGTTCTTTTTTAAATTCCTTGCGGTGCTTCAGGTCTCGGTTTACTTTGTTGTTATATAAACTTGAACTAAGTTGGCCTGGACTTCAATCCGGCGAAAGACAATCAGAACTGTAACCGTGTTAGATGTTTAATGACTGGAGTTTGGACTTTATTTCGACGTGTTTAGAAGGTTAAAATTTTACATTTTTCATGACTGGATTTAAATTTGATGCTGACAACCATAATAAAGCCAAGTTATTCGTTGTGTTTAATTTTATTTGACATTGATTTACTTTTCTTGGTATCTTCCCATATAAACGTAGAACAGTTTTTAGGTCTTATGTTGGGTGGTTACAAAACAGCATGATTAGGAAAAATAATGCTCTAGAGAAGGTGGATCTAGGTCAAAAAACTGGGATGTTGAATTACCGTAAAAGCATGTCAAAACATTTTGAAGGATTGCACAGACAATGTACATTTTGCCTACTTGGCTTAGCCCTATCTTTAAATTCCGTTTGAAATCAAGAAATTTGAAATAATTTAAAATATCAGAAAAAAGCCATTCAACGGAACAGCGAACTGCACTCATGGAACTGTTGTAAGCTTGCTGTTGGGGAGTCAGTACTCGCTGCCGGAAAGGTCCCTGGAGATGCATTCGAAGGGGATATGCTGGATCCCCGTATATACACATCGGTTGGCCAGTTGTTGAGACAGCATGCGCCCGGAGACTGTTGTAAAGGCCAGACTCTGCCAACATTGCTGCGTCATGCCTCCTACCTTCTGTTAAGACAAGATAAGAAACTTAAGTTAATAAATAGAAAGCAGTGTTGATATGCTATCCATGCAGTTTACTTCTTTACTGACAGAGAGTGGCAAAGAAAATGGGGCGGTTGGGGATGAGGGTGAGGGTGGTCATTGGAAAAGCCCGTGAAATGCGAATTTGCTTTTCTCACAATTGTTTTAACCCTTCTTCTTATAATAAGCATAGTAATTGGGAGGAGACTTAAGAAAGAGTAAGCAATGAAAGCAATTTTAGATCTTCCTGTAGTAGGTTTGTTTGTAGGGTAACTGCAGTGGAGGCTTGCAAGCTAAAATATTATTTTTAGTTTGTTAGCAGTGTGGCTTACCTACTGGACCATACAAGTGTGCAATTAACCCATTTGGTAGGACTAAGGACTGAAACTTTAATCCATGTACGCGTTTGTGACCGTTGTAGAGTAGTCGCTGGTTTTCCCCAGGTCGAGTAATCAGTGGGCGCACGGTTCCATCTACGAAACCAAAGCGATTGCTTAGTGGCGCACCTTTGTTGAAAACAACTTCCGCATACTTTTCCAGCTCCAGTGGATTTAAAATGGTTTGGTTCCACTGCGTGATTCTGTGGCTATGATGCGCATAAATCCAGTCTGTTACAGTGTTGCTTATCATACAAAATTCTGGAACCGGTCGTCCAAAAATAGGTATGTCGGAGTATGGACAAGGAAAGGCATATCGCTTTAAAAGCATACAAAGCCCTCCTGTTCCTTCGCAAACCGTTCCCTGGTCGCATACGAAGAATTGCGGAATTTGAAGAACATGTTCTACCAGAGGAATGTGGTGCTTTTCAACCCTGAAGTTCGCCCTACACTCAGCTTCACTTTGGCTCTCCAAATTGAACGGCGGGTAGTTGTCGTAAGGGAAGTCTAAGTTGCTTGAACTGTTTTCTTCGAAAAGTAAAGAAAATTCCTCATCCGTAATGATACTACAGGCATAGCTAGCAAGCAAAACTTCTCGGGTTTCTTTAAAAGTCGCCATTTGCACTAAAAACACTAATATAACTAGTATCTGTTACTTCGGAGAGAAAAACAAATTCGCTACTTTTCTTCTCTATCAATAAGTGGCCGCGTCGCTGAATCCCGCCATCTTAACTTATTTTTCCCGCCACAAACACGGCGTCTTCGACACAGGTCCCACGCGGCTACGGCGTCTTTGATGACGTCCGCGTTCTTGTATCTTAAAGTCCCTAATTTTGATTCAGCGCCAACCAAACGAGTTCTTATGGATCTTAACTGAAAGCATGACTATCTTTTGCTTATCAAAATCATTAAGCAATAAATCAAGGAACTGAAAACAAGTCCGGCATAACTATACCCTGCGAGCAGAGGCTACATTTTCGCGGTATGAGCTGGCGTGCGAAAAGTAGCCTCTGCCGACAACCGTTCAAATCCGTCCAGAAATCTGGACGAATAAATTAAAAAAACGGGTTTTTTCTTGTTCTTGACCGGTTTAGAGCATTGCGTGAGTCTTGCGTCAGCGAATGAACGCTGACCATTACTGCGCCTTCATGCATTCCTTCGCGCCAAATTCTCGCATACGAACGCGGATCAACGTAGCTCGAACGTAGCAACAGGAAAAGTTCAAAACAACTTCAAACATTCCTGTTTATGTGTTTAAAAGAGCGTCGTCAACAACTTGAATAAGCTCTGTATTTTAAAGCCGTCGGAATACCAAAACAAGCTGCTGCCGGTGCTTCTTACGGGACCGTGTAAAGATCGTTAATTTATCATTATGGTAGTTCTTGTTTGCCAGGAAAAGAAAATGGATACTGCGGTGATTTTTGTTGTGTCGCCTCTCAATGCGAGGCTAAATGCACTGTTTTAAGACACAAATGGGAACCGGAATGTTCAAAAGAATCATCGATCAGTTTTCTTTTGGTGGAAGAAGTAGAAAAAAAGCTTTCGGCTGAACACTGATTCGCCCTCAAGGACTTCAACCTGGTTGGTTTCTTCACGGTGGAAAGCTTCTCCTGTTCTGAAAAGAAACCAAGGCGGCAAAGTTTTTAAAGAATTTTCAGGTACAACTTGCACATCAATGGTCAAGGAAGTTTCGTTTTTAAATGGAAATTTAAGTATTTATAGTTGTTTCATAGATGTTTTATACGACTTGAGACGGATTTTGGCGTTGACATTTGATGTCTTCGGCAGCTTTTACTTGCGTGAAATGATCCACAATCCAGTTAGTATTACGCGAATTGCTTTTAAGGATAAAATTATGGGTTGTCGAATAAAATTTTTCGATAAATAATTTTTTTGACTACTGTTTTGTCTATGTTCATTCATAATATTAGTTTAAAACACAATCGTGAGACTACAGCATCCAATATATTTCAAACATCACTTCTGCGTAGCGTTGTCGGCGAATTTCATTTTTCACTTTGAGCACAACTATAAATAGGTAATATTAAAGCCGGAAAAATGTGCTTCTCGCAAAACAGACAGAACTTACTACAGTTGATAGCATAAAAATACTTTCCTAAAAAAGACGATCCGTGGAAATTTTGCGGCTAAAATAGTTAAAACCAGAAGGGGCGAAGCAGAAAAACAAAACAGAAGCTCGAGGAGAGTAGTTCGCAGGTAGTTTTCCCGCGAATCTCACGCAGATTTGACGAACCAGTTGCTTGCGAATCGCGTGACGAATTTTGCGCATGCACGATAGAAAATTGAACGGTTGTCAGCAGAGGCTACTTTTCGCACGCCAGCTCATACCGCGAAAATGTAGCCTCTGCTCGCAGGGTAGCATAACTACTATGTTATGTCATAGGGGAACAAAGGAAGTTTAAACAGATAACCTTTTAGATCATTTTTCTAACCACGATTTACATGTCAGATTCTTTGAAGGTTTCTTTTGCTAAGTATTGTTATGAACTCTTCGCAAAGGAGAGACTGAGTAGCAAACTAAATGCCGTACCAAGATAAGTACTGAAAATCACTGATTAGATAGCGTGTACTGTCTGCTATCAGTGCAATGCTTCGGTTATGCTCATAGCTGTTGGTCACCTTTCTTCGTTAGCACGCCAAAAATATCAAGTCGTGACCTCCTCTGATTGTTCCCTAATCTAAGTACGTCGGTCTAAACAAGCTTAAACTGGACTGTTTTTGCTGTGATTCAAAATAATTTTTCCATAACCGGTAAATTAGCCTAAAAGTTACACGCCGAGAGAATGATCAAAGCAATATTATACAATATCTTAGTCTAAAAAAGACACTTGGGGAAACTTCATTCCTTTTTCTTTTTTTCTTCTTTCTTTTTTCTTTATTTCCTCGCATACAATCATGATAAGTGTAGCTTAGGGAGATATCCACTTTTACAGTTTCTTTCATATTACATAAAAAAGGAATATAAATATGTTTGCAATTTTTCCACAGACCAACAGGTTTGTAATTTATTATTCTTTCTTCTGACAAAGATTTTTTCGCTCTCACCCGTGTCAGCGCATGGAAAATCTTTCATTTTACTTTTTATAGGTGCCGTTACCTTCCTATCAAAACAGATAGATTCCATATGATGTCCTGTGTCTATTCAGTAATAAACTTATATGACAAAAAATATATAGTAAAAACAAAGAGGTGGCATGCAGATGAGCCACAGGCGAGTGTGTCAGTGATGTGCGTTCTTGTTGACTAACGTAACTCACTTGTTGTTAAAGGTAACAACTGAAGGAAACAGAAGAGAACTGACGAAACTTCAATTCTTCCTCCTGTAGTGAATTTCGCTTCATTATGAGCGTCAAATATCAAAAATTTTATATTTTACTACAGTCTGCAAAATTTCGAAATTAAGAAATATCAAGGAATTTTTTTGTGTCTTTTAGGTATATTAGTAAATATGGCTTCATTATGAACATCAAATATTAAAATGACTATATTTTTACATAAATTCTGCAAAATTTGGAAATTAGGAAATATAAAGGAGGATATTACCATCTTCCCAGCGTGCCTTGCGCATATTTCGCGGCGATTGTTTCCTGTCTGTCTGATGAAAACATGAATTTTACCTTAAGTTTCGGAGGAATTTTCGCCACTTCAAGGATGAGATGTGGAGGTAAAGTGGGTAAAGTGGCGTAATTTCTCATCTTTCATTCGGAGAACAGAATGATTTCTTTAT